CTACCTACCTACCTACCTACCTACCTACCTACCTACCTACCTACCTACCTACCTACCTACCTACCTACCTACCTACCTACCTACCTACCTACCTACCTACCTACCTACCTACCTACCTACCTACCTACCTACCTACCTACCTACCTACCTACCTACCTACCTACCTACCTACCTACCTACCTACCTACCTACCTACCTACCTACCTACCTACCTACCTACCTACCTACCTACCTACCTACCTACCTACCTACCTACCTACCTACCTACCTACCTACCTACCTACCTACCTACCTACCTACCCAGGCCAACATATTTGATTAGTCTTACCAAGTGGGCCACATACAAACTTTATGCTAAGTTGCTAGTCGCTAAATGCATCTTATACATTGGTTTTGCTCCCTGGAAGATCATGGTGTTATAAGTCCTTTAATATGTCGTTTACCACAAGTCTCTTTGTTGGGCAGCTCTCCTGCTGGAAGTCGGAAAAAAGTAACCTGTCTGTTCCTTCAGAATAGAGTTGAACCAACAGCAAATGATGGTGGCCAGGTCAAAAAGTGCTGACGGTACAATTGTTAACCCACTTAAAGGAAGTGCATACAATAACCTTGGCAATGGCACTTCTAAGAATCTAATAGCCAACAGGATGTGGACTGAAAAGGAAAGGATGGTGGAGCAGGTGGAGGCTGAAATGTTCTGATGTGAGGAAACACTTTCCCCAGCTATCTAACGCCTCCTACTGGAGGAAAATAGATTTCACGCGGACCTTGCTGTTTAAGACTAATCCGCTTGCAAATCACAGTGGTATGTGATTAAGCTTTGGAAAGGTGAGAGCAAAGGCAATCAGTTGCCTAAGAAACAATTCGCTGCACTTTGCTCTTGAAAATTGAAAGCCAACCATTAAAAAAAAAAGGCTTAAAATTTCTACTTAATAGAGGCCAGCTACTTGTAAAGATGAAACACTCTCGAGAAGGCTGCTCAGCTAAATGCCATCACAGCTGCAAGTGTCAATCCTTGGCAATTCCCAGCACAGCCTAGGAATTATTCTTGTAAATAAAGAACACAGCTAGAAGTGCTGACTTTTTCTGATCAAAAAAGTGTCCTGGAGACAAACGGAACATTTTTAGGTCAGGCAAAGGCCTCTGTTTCTGGTGGGCCTTTTATTAGTTTCACAGGCAGCGCTGCGCTTAGAGAGTATAAAAAGCTACATTTCCTCACTGTAATTGTGGTATTGTCTAATAATATTTCCACTTTGTACAGGGTTACAGAGGGAGCTTTTTAAAAAGACTGTATTTGAAGAAAGCTTTAAAAATCCTTTCAGGTAGCAGTTTAAATAACCACAACGGCAACCCAATCTCCCTCATGCTCAAATCAAACAGAGGAATTGTAATCGCCATTTAAGAAGGTCTGACCAATTTTTAATCTGTTAAAAATTGTACTTCTGTTATGGAATGTTATGCGAGACTGTTTTTTTAAAAAAATGAAAATGTATAAAATGGGTTTTGACTATATCACCACAAAACTTTTTAAAATGGGCATATATTATCTACTAGATAGAAGAAATCTACATTGTCTGAGCTGTCTACCCAACCATGTTTATTTCCAAGTTCTAACTCACAGTAATACCAAGTTTTACATCATTGTAAGAGAAGGGGGGCAGATGACTTATTTATATCTATGGCACGTCATGAAGCTATTTTTAACAAACTGCATTCTGATTTGGGGTCTAGACTTCTATTCTAAAATAATATATGGAGCCAGACTTTATGATGTCATGCCTGCTGCAACATATTTAGAGACAGGAATAAACTCTTATATATCCTGAATACCAGTTTTCTTGTCCTTATTTTAAATACAGTGCATGCCTCTAGGCACAGATGCAGTAGTAAAGGCTTTCTGTTCAGGACAGAAGTAAGCAACAGTGGTTTATTAGGTGGCCAGACAAATGCAGAATGAACCAAAACCAATGAATTTGCAGTTGTCTGAGCTGTTCCCAACCCTAGATACCCCGGTTTTGTCATTTTGTACTGCCTATCATCCCAACTCACCAACCCTCCTGGTTAGGGTTGACGGAAATGTATTCCAGCAACATCCAGGGACCCAGTGTTGAGGGCCACAAAGAGATCTGATAATTCATTAGCTCCAGCTAATCCTGTACAGTACTTATATACTGAGACAGTTGCAAACAGTGTTCAGACAGCACATGGGCAGTGACTACAGATAAAAGTACAGTTGAACAACCTTAGCAGACATGCTACAACCCAAAATGTTCCTTTTTGCCTATTTAGTTTAAACTGGGCAGAAAGCTGACTGGACAGTTATCTGCTACCTTCTGTCCCGTGCCATGTGTTAGTTTCTTTTTTCCTATCTGCTTTAAAAGTCAGCTGCCTGACTAGTACTGTATCCATAAAAATAAATAAATAAATTCCCGATATAGAGATGCACTGGATTTTTCACTACCAATGTGAACAACCTCTTGCATTTTTAAAAAGAGGGTCGCAACCCAACTGGAAGCATAGCAGGATTCACACAACTTGCTGGGTGGCTGCTGATCAATTATTTAGCCAGGCCTAAAGACAATCTGCTCTTGGAGTAGGTGGGGGAGAGTCAGGAATGTTCCTTGATTTATTTTACAAGGCAGAAGGTTCACCTTTCATCTCTCCAACGATAACTGCTCTATAACTGACCCTGAAAAGGGAGGTGACTTTGATTTTCATCTCCACTTTCCATTCTTTCTCCAGGTCAGCTGATTTCATCATCCATAGAAACCACATGCCAGCATTCCTATATTTGCACTTTGACAGGCAGTAACTCAACATGTCAGCAAACTCATGAACCTCGGACACAGACAGCTCGATTTTCTTTAATGGAAAACTGCTTTTCTGCCATTGTATGGAAGCATACTAAGCTAAATTAAACCAATATTTACTCTGAAAATGGAGTCAGGCAACAGAATCTTTAATATGAGTGCTACCTGAATGAGACTACTTGAAACATCCTATATCTATCTGTATCTCTAACTATATCTACTGCATCCTCTTTAATATGAGTGCTCCCTGAATGAGACTACTTGAAACATCCTACTGTATGTATCTGTATCTCTAACTATATCTACTGCATGTGCTTCCTTATATTGCCTGCCTTCCTCTCCATTCTAATCTGCAAATGCATCCCAGTTATGTCAGTGGAGCTGATCTAATACTTAAATAAGTTCAGGGTTATGCATGAGCACATATTCCAACCATTAGATAGAACACGGAAAGTTTTGGAGCATGCTGTAATTCCCAGGAGCACTGATATAATATTTCGCTCCAGTCCTCCTCTGTGAAACCCTTTCCAAGGAACACTGCCCCGACATGATTGAAATTCTCATGAGCACTGCTATGATATTCAGCTCCACCTCTGCTCTGGGAAACCTCTTCCAAAGAAGTCCATATTTCTTTCACTATTCATGTTTGAAGGGATGCATATAAATTTAAACTGTTTCAAAGGACTGGGTGGGTCCATAAGTGCTCTCCCCACACCCCAAAAATATTACCAAAAAAGTTGGAAACCCCCTAAACCCTTGTATGTGTTGACAAGAACTTGAGGGAAAATCTACTTTGTTCAGTATTTGGCAAGGTTGAGTTACTGTGTAATGTTACTATATGATTATGTGCAAACGGATCTCTCTTTAAAGCGATATTATGGGAACATGCATACTCTTGTCTGAAGCATACCTAAAATATGCTTTAGATAGATAATGAACAAGGGAGCTTCAAAGCTTCAAAATCACCCAACTTCGTACTAGAGGCCATTCAGACAAACCTCCGTGAATTTGCTGCACATAAAAGAATTGCTGTCAGGTACAGACACAATGGACACACATTCCCAGTCACAGTTCCATAGTAGTTGCCTGTCACATTCACATTCACAGGTTAGCAGGTACACCTAAAACTTGCCATTTAGGAAGTGTGTGAAACATCATTATGGTAGCAAAACACCAGCAAGCAATGCACATCTCTGCCATTTTTATAACAATATCTGTGTTTATCACAGCCAAAGTTTTGCTAACATTTACAGAGCCACTGCAAACCATTGCAAATCCAGATCTAGCCCTGACTATAGGCACCGTCAGATTCAACAGGGCACAACAGCCAGTCCTTTCTTCCAGTGAGGATACTTGTCTGATATAGATGCTTGTAAAGATGAGCTCAAAATACTGAACTTACATTTGTAGATATACACTTCAAGTATATAATGTATGAAGCTGTGTGTAGAAAACAGCCACATACTGTACATGCAAGTTTCTTGCAATTCGAAGCAACACTCTTTAATTAAACTAACACAGTTCTGTAACCAATACAGTGATGCCTCACAAGACGAAAATAATTCATTCTGTGAGTCATTTCGTATTGCGAAAATTTTGTCTTGCGGTTTCCCATAGGAATGCATTGAAATTGAATTAATGCATTCCTATTCGTCTTGCGAAGCACAGCCATAGAAAAATTTGTCTTGCGAGTCACCAAAAATTTGCAAAATGCTTTTGTCTTGTGAGTTTTTCGTTGTGCGAGGCATTCGTCTTCCGAGGCATCACTGTATTTGTATTTTGGGCTATCTCAAGTGCATGAATGTAGACTGGTGAAATCACTACTTTTTCTATTAGACCACCAATGTATCATGTTACTATTAAGTAATCCATAACTATATTTCGCTGCTATACTGGTAACATTTAGTAAATTAATGAGAAAAATCATTGCAGTTTTGACAATCCATTACAGTTTTGATTTATTAATATTTAATCATCCTTACATACTCTGACTGTCTGAAATCCCATTGACTTCAACTGAACAAATTACTAACTGTATCTGACATGTCTTCAACGTGTGCAGAAGGACACAACAGTGCTATGAAGGATCACATTGCTATCTTTCACACCTATGAAAGAGCCAAGTACGAAAAGGCAAAAAGATATTCACAATAAAACAAAACAGAAACAAAACAAAACTATTTTTGTACTCACCGTAAGACTACTGTCCAAAGAAAATCTTTTTCCAAAATCCTTTTTGACTAGTTGCTGCTTTTTGTCCATGGCTGGAGATTCTTTCTTGTGTGCTCTCTCAAACACGCCAGGCTTTTCCTATTTTCATTGAAGAAGAAATAATCAAAGATGCATTTTTAAAATATGCTGTTTTGTTGACTCAAAGAAAAATACATTACTTGTGAATCAGTTAACTTAGCTCAGAATTTTCTCAGTTACAACACATATTTAGATTCCACACTGTTCAATATTTCAAAGTTCTAAAACAAAAACATTTTTTAAAAAGCAGCAAGCAAGCAGAAGGCAATGGTACTCATATCTGGGAAAGAGAAGCATTGAAATGTTTCAGTGGTGCTTGCATTGCATTGCTGAGAATTCTACCAGCCTTCTCAGATCATCCCAATTTGCAGCCTAGAAACATTCGGTGCTTGCATTACATTGCTGAGAATTCTACCAAATTGGATCATCCCAATTTGCAGCCTAGAAACATTAGGTACATTTTAACACATTTTTCCTATTCAGCAAAAAATGTCTGAACACAGTTTGCAAAACTATGTATTTTTAGTTGCAGACTTTTTTTCAAATGTAAGCATGGTTTGGTGCATTTCTTTTCCTTTGTCAAAAGAAACAACAAGTCTTAGAAATGGAGGATTTCAGACAGAAGATACACTCTGTCCCTTCCCTGAACTTTAGAGGTGTAAAATGGACACTTTCAAATGGATGCAGTGAATTCCTTTTCCATCTGTAAAGAGAAGTAGTCACCATCTCTTGAATCAGTATTGATTGGACAGACACCAGTTGTAATGAGATTCGTATCTCTTTCCACCTGTTGGGAAGCAGCAGTGTTGTACATATGCAGAGCCAGCTGGTCCATGTACTTACAGTCACTGAAATATTCCACTAGCATGCATAGTGGAACATCACAGAATCAGTGTCAGGTAAGACTGAGGATTAGTTTTGAAGGACGAGTAAGTGTGGAGCAGGACATCATGCTGTGGTAATAAGCACTGCCAACAATCTTTGTCCATTGATCGCACGCCTGAATGAAACCCACATAGTACCCTCAGTGCATGCATTCAGTGAAGAAGACAAAGTCTGCTGCCATTGGATACTGTGAATGCATTCTTCAGCGACTGAATAGGATGCTGTGAAATTGAAACTCTTTGTTTATGGAAGCAAATTTGAGATTTGTCATAAGCTCCCTTTCAGTTGTGACAGCATCTCATGCGTAGGACTCCCTCATCATGGAACTCCTCCTGATCAATGGAACTTGGGCCAGGCTATAATTCCAAGAGGAAGCTAAAACTGTACTGTGCAAAGGGCCTTGGATATATAGACACTTTTAGAAACTGTCTTTTGCAGAATGTTTTAAATCTGCTTTAAATCTGTTTTGAATGTTTTTAATTGCTTTGAGTGTTTTTAAGTTATATTCAATTATTTTGAATTTACTGAAAACTGCCTTGGGAGCCCTGGTGAACAGAAAGGTGAATGTTTTAAAGAAATACATAAACACATGTCTTGCATACTTCTGACAGTGCAGGAAAAGATAAGATTTCCCTCTGAACACTAAAGCAATGTTGGTGAGCTTTCCCAGTGTTGGTATGTAGAAATTGACACAGAGGTTCCTCACAGCAAAACAGCTTTGTCAAGCAACATATCTATCAACAGTAAACATGTGCTAAAATGAAATGGATAAATTTGTAACATGTATGCCCATTGCAAATCTGTACGAGTTCAAAAACCATGCAACTACATTTTGACTGGAATCCTACCGATGTCTGCATAAGGTTTGCATAACTTGGCTGCAGCTAATTGTGGCTAATGAGTGAGGTGCCAGGGCACATATTGGTTGCACAACTCGTTACATGTGGCCAGACATGTGACCAAGACAAGTCCAGTTACCTCATTAATGAGTTAAAAGTAGTCACCACAAGTTATTCCCTGGAAAAGATCCTGATGTTGGGAAAGTGTGAGGGCAAGAGAAGGGGACGACAGAGGATGAGATGGCTGGACAGTGTCTGCGAAGCAACCAACATGAATTTGACCGAACTCCGGGAGGCAGTGGAAGACAGGAGGGCCTGGTGTGCTCTGGTCCATGGGGCCATGAAGAGTCAGACACAACTTAACGACTAAACAACAACACCACACGTTATGCAGACATTACACAAACACCAATTGGATTTGCTTCGTTGTGTTTTTTTCAATGCTAAAAAGCCCAGAAGATCCTTGTGTTACATGAAAAATAATCATGTAACAAGAACATGAACAAGAACATGGTCATTCTTTCTGAAAGGCACTAGAACAGACAAGCAGGCCAAATAGTAAAATATTCTGTTTTTTAAAAGTATCCAAGACAAGACTGACTGAGGTTAAGTTGTTACATAGCAGCACTACTCATGAAGGCAGTGCTGCCAAAAACAAGAGGGGTTGATCTTGTGGGGAAAAATAGAATCTATGCACCCTGTTTTGCAGCATACTGAATCTTTTCCAAAACATCAGAAATACTTCGCAGAACCTTCTGCTTCTCAGTCAGATTACAGAGGTAATTTGGTCTAGCTTGGAACAGCTTCACAAAAGATGGTTTCACAGAAAATATCATGTGACCTGCATCTTGCTCCTCCTCAGGAACAACAGTACAAATATCCAACCAATGTCATTTATTACATTATCCCTTGTGTAAATCAGGCCATCACAATGATCATATTAACATCTTCCTCACATTAGCTTTCCACTGTTATTCAGTCTTATATATAGTTATAGATGCTACCCGAATTTAACATCTTTATCAGTAAGATCTATTTGCTAAACCATTTCTGAAATTTGTATCCCTCCGAGTAGTCAGTTGGATTTTCAGTGCAGCATATAAAAGACTTTAAAACAAACAAGAAGAGAGCAAAACAATGAAACAGAGCAAGAAAGGTCAGAAACTCCAATCATTGAAATCCCATAATATTTTAAAACATACTTTTAAAAAAGTTTAAAGTTAAATGTGTTTAAAGACTTTGAAAAACAAGGTCTTTATTTAGCACTGAGGTAACAACAAAGTAAGGGCATGTCCAGACAGGCGTCCGTCCCCACACGGTGCGTTGCTGGGGCAAATTGGTCCGCTCTTTTTTCCAATTTGCTTGCAGGGTACCCCAACGTGCACCTTTTTGAACACCTGTCAGGGGCTTCTATTCTTTTGGTGTGCATTGGTCCACTCTAGTTTAATCCATTCCCAGCATGTGTGGTCACAGGGAACGGACTAAAATTGAGCCTTGCAGCTGCACAAGCTGCCAAGGAGCCTTCCGACATGAATTTCTGGTACCATGAAATGGCTTACTAAACAAACCAGTATATTGGCAAAAGGCACATTTAGGAATGCTACGAAAAACACATTTTCTTTTTTACCTCTTTTTTCATTAGAGTTTGTCAGTTGCATGCAAAACAGGTGGAAAAGGCAAGCCCATCCAGAAGGCAAAGAGTGAAAGCTAAGGCATGTGTGGATCCACAGCAGAGTGTTAAGAGTCTTTTTTATTTTTACCCAGATTCAGAGATTATGTTGGGGAGGTTTCTTTTTCAGATGCACACACACCCTTTCCTTTTTAAACTGCTCTCTCTCTCTCTCTCTCTCTCTCTCTCTCTCTCTCTCTCTGTGTGTGTGTGTGTGTGTGTGTGTGTGTGTGTGTGTGAAGTGCCCCCCCTTTTTGTCTCCACTGACAAGATTGAGGGACAGTAGGAGACTGCACACACCTCATCTCTGCAATTCCCAATATTTTCTCCCTGCCTCCTCCTTCTTCCGTCCTCCTCTCCAAATTGGGTGCAGCCAAAGGAAAGCACAAAGGGCAGAAAGGCATCAATATGCCTTTATTTTTACCCGCCTTTTATGTTGGCCACCGATGATTGGTTGTTTTCTCTCCCTTTGCACCACCACATGGAGCTTGCCTCTCTCTTTCTTCCCTTCTGCTACCTGCCATTCCCAGCCATACTGGAACCTGCACCCCTTTCCTTTCTCCAAAACTCTAGCTTTTCACATACTTGCCACTTCAGGATATTGGAATAAAGGTCACTGGAGGTTGATATTCCATTTGGACATGAGGATCACACTTAATGCCATATTGCTCCAACCATATCCAATCCTATTTGGACCGCGCCAGCCTGCACCAAAGGGGCCAGTCTGGACATGTCCTAAGCCTGCCTTAAAAGAGCACCCCATGGGCAGAGGACCAGCATTAAAAGGCTCTCTTGTTGGCTAATACTCAGAAAGTACTTCTGACATGTGTAGAATGTCACAGAAGAAAAAAAAACTCTCTACTAGGTATCCGGATATTAAGTCAGGCAGTATATTATCCCTTTTCCCTCAAGCATACAGTACATGGTTTTCCCTTTTATCCTCACAACAAAAACCTTGTGCAGTCTAGGTCATGCTCAGAAATAAAATAATCATTGACCAAAAATTGACTGTGCATGTCATGGCAATTTGCAGTCTCTGCAACAAGACTACTTCAAAACTCTAAACTCTGCACAGTGCCACAGCAAACATGTTCCTTTTCATATAAAGGATAGTTTGCCAGCACCACCCTATCTGTGAATAGAGAAGCCATGTACACAGAATCCATGTTGTAGCAGTAAAGCGCCAGTATCAAAAGATGATATTACTGAATCCATGCTAAGACACAAGTCACAGCAGAGGCCCACTGCCCATCTCCCAAATAACCTGAGCACACTTCCCTCACTTCTAGTCCTTGTTCACTTGCTCTCTTCAACAGGAGAACACAGAGAAAGGGCAGCAGCTCCATTTTCCATGCTTTTCTGTGGCCCCAGAAGGGTCTGCCCACAATCTGGAGCCAACACTGTGACATCACATTGCTTGGTAATGAGATCAGGTCATTTGTAAGCTCCTCCTGCTTCCAGAAGAATTCTCCCTGCATTTGATACCAAAGCAGGTTTTTCTCCTTGCAGTTTTATTGCAGTAGTCAGCTGTATACTAAGAATACTTTCATTTTCCATAGTAGTTTACTGCCTAGTAAACCAATTTATTGCCGAACAAAATTTACCAGCACCATACCACATTCTACTCAGGACCACAGAGGGCTGCTCATTGTAAAACAACAGTGTTA